ATTAAGTTCAAAGAGAAAAGTAGATGAGAAACAGAGAGTGATAGAGCTTGTACAGAACAATTATTTCTTTGGAATAAAATTTCAGATTTTTGTTTAACAGGTGAGTTCTCTTTGAATGAATAGTCTTTGTGTTTGGAAGAGGGCATGAAAGTCTGACGTTTTCCTTCATGGAAAATCACACTCAAGCCTGTTTCTTCCTCTCATGATCTTCTTTTCTGTTCTAATAGAATTTTCTTGTGAATCGTTTGGTATATTGCTATTTCATAGATTTTTTTTCCTTGTAAATAAAACCATGCCCAGGCCATGAAGCAAATTTGGGAATTGAATTGTGATTTGTGAGTTCTAGGATTATTTTGTGAGATTATTATCATTCTGAGATTATTTTATTGGGTTGTTGAAATCATGTTAATATATGACATTATTGATTATTGATGTATGAATGAGTATCAGGGAGTGTATGGAATTTAATGGGATTTGACAGCTTGCAATAAAATTGAAGTCTGAAGTAGTTTTGTCCTGGCGTTATATATTTTGGTTTTCAAAGCTGTCCGAGATGAAATTTTCAACTTTGACAGTATAAACCTGGGGTTTTGAAATAAGGGATGAACCATGTTATAACGACCATGTTTAATTTTTTAGGATATTTGTGGTTTGTTGTTTTGTGGGTTCGAAGGTTTGTTAAGGTATTATTTGGATGGATTTGGAGGGAAAGATTGTAGGAGAAACCTTAAAAAATAAAAGCCTATACTTCATTAATAATATTTTGCTATGCTTTATCTGGTTGATGAATAAAGTGCTAATATATCCAAAACTGAAAAGCAGAATTTGTTCCTATTTATCTGGCTCCTAATGTTTGTCTTGACACTATTCTCATTTTCCCATTGCCCAAAGTTATGATATATATTCTAAATAAAGTTTGATTAAAAGCATACTTCAGTAAAAATAACGATTAAGATCTACTAACCACACATCGGTGTTATCCCCTTGTGCATATAGTAAAGATATTCATAAGTTCTTGAATACTTACATCTTCTTAAGCAAACTGAGCGAACTACTGCAGTACTCCACGTTATTGTAGGGGAACCAAGGCCAATATTTCAGTTCAAAACCCATAAGCATTTGAAGGTAAATATCAGAAGCAGAGAGGCCTGAGATATTGGATAGCATGACCGGGAACTGAGCTTCAATTCTGCATGATTCATTGAAATCCGAGTGCTTTGTTTGGTTATTGAAAAGAAAAAGTAGGTGTGAGGAGAGGAAGGGCTATTGGTGCAATTAGAGGCATCAACATCGAGTGATGAGCTTATCGGCATATTGCAATTTAGAACATACATGATGCTATTCTCAGTTATATTCCCAAATGAAGGCCCATTCTGAAACGGCCAACATTGAAATTTAAGGAAAGGGTAGTAGGGAATGGAACATTTATTCCTATCGAGACTGGCATCCACCACTCGAACTGTGTCATTATCATAAAAGATTTCCTCCACTAAGAAATTTTGGTATGTACTACGTTTGAGAGGCAAAGTGGTGCGATTGTTCTCGCAAACTAGTTCAAGCTCTGGGTAACCACACTCCTTAGGATCACTGCGTAATCGGAAAGGGTAATCTATAGTAAGGTTTCCACAGGAAGAAGGGACGCAATCAGCGATATAAGTATCAGGAAAAAGAGATACAGCAAGGGCCATGAGGGCGAAGAGTGCCACAACTTTTGCTCTAACTAAGATCCTAAAGCTAGAGTATTAGATCATGAGGTTTTCTTAAGAATATAATAGAGGAAAAACTCTGATGATAACAGATATGACACAATTACGCCCCCCACGAAAAAAGCACAAGAAGAAGACAGCACCCAGGGCAAAGTAGGTGGCTCTCAAAGGCAATAAAGCAAAAACCTAGAATCCATATCGTCTAAATCTAAACTGATGGGATGACTACATAAAGAAGCCTTCAAGTTTCTGCACAGTACACCGCTGCTTTGGCTGAATTTGAATTTTAAGAGGATTGGAATAGTAGATTCACCTAACATGTCGTTTTAAACTCAATGGGAAAAAGAAGCCTAGAATTTTCTTCACATAGTTGTTACCCAGTTTGCAGCTTCCATGAAACTGATCTCTAATTTTGCTAAAACCATTCCACTTAACTCAAAATTCAAATGTGAGATTTCTAATTTGAAATCTTAAACTTTGAATTACTTGAGCTACCTTTTTAAGGCAATTTTCATAATTTATTAGAATGATGCTTTTAGGGTGATGGCCCTATGGCTTTTTTATTTTTTAACTTTTTAAACTCTATTTTTTACTTTTAAATCTTTTAATTTTTAATATTTAAATTATTAAATCTTAAATCTCAAAATATTAAATCTTAAATCCTAAATATTGAATCCTAAAAGAATCTTAAACCTAACACCTTAAATACTAAACCTTAAAAACCTTTAAACCTCAACACTTCAAGCACTGAATTTTAAAAAATTTAAACCTAAACATTCTAAACACTTTTAAATTTAAATCCTAACATGCAAGCATCAAACTCTAAACTTTTTAAAAACTTAGATGCTAAAATTATAATGATAAGAGATTAAAGGACTAAAATAATTTTAATCTACTTAATGCAGGTACCAACTAATAATTTAGTCATAAAACAAACGGAGAAAATGGATGGACGGATGTTTGTCAAGTATTTTGGTCTTCAATTGGTTTGAGGGGGTTCGATG